TGGTACTAAGTTAATTGTATCACAGCCCTAAAAATTAAAAAAAAAAGGCTCAAAAAATGATTTCACATAAATAGTGCCATGTGGATTGACAAAAAGAAACAGAAAAGAATAAGCAGATTGTACAATCTATTACTGAGAAAAATTCTGGGCTAACCTCAGTCATAAGTACTGTAATAGTCAATGTTTCAGGATAAGAACTCATCGCAAAATAATGTTATTTCAGAAAACACTCATAAAAAAACACATCAAAAGAAGAAAAATGGATTGCACACAGAGTTGAGAAGTTCAGAATAGCTAGAAAAAATGCAGCCTACCCATCCAGGTGAGCAGAAGTTTTCAGCCACTTTGTTATCGAGTCGCTCAGTTGTGTCCAACTCTTTGCACCCCCATGGACTGCAGCACGCCAGGCTTCCCTGTCATTCACTATCTCCCTGAGCTTGCTCAAACTTATGTCCATTGAGTCGGTGAGGCTAACCATCCATCTCGTCCTCTGTCATCTCCTTCTCTTCCTGCCTTCAATCTTTCCCAACATCAGGGTCTTTTCCAGTGAGTCATCTCTTTCCATCAGGTGGCCAAAGTATTGGAGCTTCAGCTTCAGCATCAGTTCTTCTGATGAGTATTCAGGGTTGATTTCCTTTAGGACTGACTGGTTTGATTTCCTTGCAGTCCAAGGGACTCTCAAGAGTCTCCTCCAACACCATAGTTCAAAAGCACCAATTCTTTGGTGCTCACTTTTCTAGTCCAAATCTCACATACATACACGACTCCTGGAAAAACCATAGCTTTGACTAGATGGACCTTTGTCGGCAAAGTAATGTCGCTGCTTTTTAATAAGCTGTCTATATTTGTCATAACTTTTCTTCCAAGGAGCAAACATCTTCTAATTTCACAGCTGCAGTCACCATCCACAGTGATTTTGGAGCTCAAGAAAATGTCTGTCACTGTTTCCATTGTTTACCCCTCTATTTGCCATGAAGTGATGGGACCCGCCACTTGGGGGAGCTCAAATCTCACGTCCCTCAGTTACTACTCCACCTGCAAAGAGGTTGCCAGCAGACGCTGGATTGATTGGTCAAGTCCAAAAACACAGGTAGCGCATTGTGCCAGGGCCTGGAAATCCCTCTATGCTGAAAGGAAGGGTAAACACAGTTCCTTCTGAGGTTCTCATATTGCAGGGTTTTCTTTGATTGAATTTTTAGGAAAACAGGCTTCCTATAGAGCTGGGGTGATTAAAGAGAGCTCTTCCTAGACAGAGGTGTTCTACTGTCCCCTGGGTGGTCTTGGGGGACAATGAATGACTTTCGGTACTAAGAAAAACTTTTCTTTCTCTCCTTGATTTAGTTGAAATTTCACTGGAGTTGTCTTTTCTTTCCATCAGAGCCAAACAATGAGGATGACTGCAGTCCAGCTAACCTCTCTGGATAATGGAGCACAACTGGTCATAGTGCACTAAGAATTAGTTTCAAGGGCAAAGGAGGGCTCAGCTCACAGAAGGAAGAGCTCTGTAGAGAATTTTTGACTGGTGGTGTTCACATTTGTGGACAGGAGAGTGCATGCACGATCCAGGGGTTTTATTTCCCTTTAATCTCCTTTTTCTCAATATGGGCTAAGATAAAGTCTAATAATGGCATAGATATTAGATCACTAGACGTGTCTGATAAGCCAGCACAATGAAATTCATCACTAAACAGATAAAGAGTCCTTTTGTCTCCTTTTTTGTTACCTCTCTCCTTCCCTTCATTCATTCCTTCAAGCTAGAAAACACATGGGAGAAAACTTCCTCTCTCCCTCCCCACCTTTTTTCTCTCTCTCCCGTCCTTCTTTCTTNGTCAAGGCTATGGTTTTTCCAGTGGTCATGTATGGATATGAGAGCTGGACTGTGAAGAAAGCTGAGCGCCGAATAATGGATGCTTTTGAACTGTGGTGTTGGAGAAGACTCTTGAGAGTCCTTTGGCCTGCAAGGAGATCCAACCAGTCCATCCTAAAGGAGATAAGTCCTGGCTGTTCACTGGAAGGACTGATGCTGAATCTGAAACGCCAGTACTTTGGCCACCTCATGTGAAGAGCTGACTCATTGGAAAAGACCCTGATTCTGGGAGGGATTGGGGGCAGGAGGAGAGGGGGCGACAGAGGATGAGATGGCTGGATGGCATCACCAACTTGATGGGCATGAGTTTGAGTAAACTCTGGGAGTTGGTGATGGACAGGGAGGCCTGGCTTGCTGTGATTCATGGGGTCGCAAAGAGTCAGACATGACTGAGAGACTGAACTGAACTGAACTGATAGCCAGATTATCTTGGCTTAAATTATACTCTACCAATTAACTGGCTGTGCAACTTTAGGCAAGTTACTTAACCCGTCTGTGCCTAAGTTTCCTTATCTGGAGGATGGAAATGTTGTTAATACCTACCTTATAGGGTGGTTTTAAGGATAAATGCAAAAATTTATGTAAAACACTTGAACACTATATCATACTTAATAAGCTCTTTAAAATGTTGGATGTTACCCTGTTTCCCATTTGTGATATATTCCTTTCCTCTGTTCCTGGAGGTTATCACTATTATGAGTTTTTATTGTTTTAATATCATGTGTGTGTGTGTGTGTTTGACAAATGGTGACCTATTAGTCCACCGGGCTCCTCTGTCCATGGAATTTTCCAGGCAAGATTACTGGAGAGGTTTGCCATTTCCTACTCCAGAGGATTTTCCCGACCCAGGGACTGAACTAATGGGAGGCGAATTCTTCACCACTGCGCCACCTGGGAGCCCCCAATATATTACACATATTATTCTGTAGTTTGCCTTTTTAAATGAACATTTATGTTTTATGATTTATCCATGCTGATGCAAATTGGTTTAGTGTACTCCTTTTAACTGCTGTATAATACTGTGAATCTAACTTGTTAAGCTGGAATCAAGATTGCTGGGAGAAAAAAAAAAGATTGCTGGGAGAAATATCAACAACCTCAGATATGCAGATGACACCACCCTTATGGCAGAAAGTGAAGAGGAACTAAAAAGCCTCTTGATGAAAGTGAAAGAGNACTCGATGGGCATGAGTTTGAGTAAACTCTGGGAGTTGGTGATGGACAGGGAGGCCTGGTGTGCTGTGATTCATGAGGTTGCAAAGAGTTGGACACGACTGAGCGACTGAACTGAACTAAACTGAACTTGTTTAGCTATTTTCTATTTGGCAGATAGTTAAAATGTTACTAATTTCTTCTATCATAAATAGTGCTGCATGGAACCCTCATATAAGTTTCTGGGCCATATTATGATAGAAATCTATGTGTAGAACTTATGAGTTGTAGCAAAAGTACAAACTGGTTGAACCAATTTGTATCCCCACTGCGAATATCTGAAAGTACTCATTCCCCCAAACCTTGCAAAAGTTCAAGAAGAAAATCAACCATTTTTTGCAATCTAATGGATAGGAAGTTTGCCATTATTCTTTTAACTTGTATTTCTATGTTTACTAGTGAGATTGAGCATCTTTTCATATGTTTAATGGCCATTTGTGTTTTTCTGTGAATCATCTGCTCATAGCCTCTGTTTGCATTTCTATTATATCATTAATTTTTTTCTTATTACTCTGTAAGATAATCTTTAAAAGATGATAAATGCTGTCTCCTAATCAGGTTTGCTCATTTTTTAGCTTTGTTCATGAGGTCTTTGATCATACATGCCTAAATTTGTTTTCGGTTATACTTAACTGCACACTTATTCTTGTAAATACCATTTTCAGCCTTTTAGTCTTTAGAAGGAAATTGAGGTTCCATAAGAAAAAAAAAATTGTGTAGAAAGAACCCATAGAGTGAGAAAGGGAGAAAGGTAAGAATCAAAGCTTGCTCTAAAGAGCACCTTCATGTACAAGTGGCAAGTCTGGAACATGGACAAGAATAGATCTAGCTTTAAAAATATATTTTGTCTTGCAATTCAATGGAGAGAGAACATAAAGAAAATGATGACATCAGTCAGACAAACAGTGTAACCCTATATGTTATAAAGGAGGAATGAGAATAACTTAGGAAGGGGTGGAAGTCTGGAGGGAAAGTCCCTAAATTTGACTCTAACTGAAAGAAAGAGGGATTCTCTAGGGGGAAATGGAAGTGGAATACAAGAGTAAAGAATTAGGTTGTGCTACTAAGAGGTAGAGAAAGCAGTGTTCTTCTTGACCTGAAAGAAAGCTAGGAAATGCATGGGATAAGACATATTGCTCTTTCCTGCACCACTAACAGCTTGAGAAATGTTACCAGTGGTAACATCAGCTCAGAAATACACTGATGGAAGGATTCTCCAGCTGGTACAAATGTGGTGGCAGAAGGAAATGCTAACCTAGGAAGTAGGATTGTTAGGACTAAAAAAAATTTTAGACTCCAAAGTCTAAAACAGTAGCATCTTCAGCATAGATGACATCATAGAACTGGAAACAAGCAATCACATGACATCTGGTGGGAGAAAGAGAAACAGACATGAGCCAGAAATTGGAGGTATGGGGAAATACACTGGGCAATGGGAGATGCCTTTTGTAAATGAGTGAGAACTGTTATAAGAGAGAACATGTGCTCTTTGATGGGGTTCAAACTCAGTTCAATGTTTGGACAGTAGGAGTAAGGCAATAAATATGAAAGCAACTTAAGAAATTTTCAATATGCAGAATGAACACCAATGAGAAGAGAATCCTAGAAAGCCCTGGAGACTGGTGGACCCTCAGTAAAAATTTCTGAGTCATGCAATTAAAAGAACAGTTTACAGGGGTGATGGATTCTTTAATAAAATTTGGAATTTAGTATCATAATTAATCTCTTGATTGCATTTCTTCTGGGTGTAAGGTCATGGGGTTGATGGAATGGACTTGGGAAAATTGCATGGATTGTCCTGGCAATGCTTTTTTACTCTTTTCTCTATTCCTTTTTGGAATGCATCTATGTTAGTCTTACAATAAATATGCATTTGAGCATTTTTCATTCCTCAGCTGACATGCTTGTTCCCTTTGTTTAGGTTATCTTTGTGTCTTTGGAAACAAGGCCATCCTTAAGGACACTGTGATGCTCTTCAACTTCTGACTCCTGACCAACAGATTTATCTATAGTCACACCTTACTTTGGTTTCTTTCCAGACTTCTCTGTCAAGTGGTACTGTGAGCATATCCTTAAACATTTCCTCTCTGCTCCAAACCTAAAAGACCTAGCAATGAGGAACAAAAACCCAAACAATAACTCAACATTTTCATGTGCCAGAAATGGAAACACTCGGCAGTAAGCCGGGACTGCAGCATAGGCCTGCTGGGCTCTAGGTTCAGAAATAGACAGAGTTAGGAGAGTGACTTCTGCATCAGAAAGAAAACCAAAGTGACTGACATGCGGTGGGGCACCAGGGCCAGCATCCCCATGTAAGGGCCAAGGCCAGGTGGGCCCACCCTGACCATGAAAGGAGGTGGAAGCAGCTCTGATCACTGCTTGGAGCTGTGGCTTTGTAAAACTGAGTCCCTGCAGGGGGGGCAGGAGGAAGTAGAGCAAGCCCAGCGGCAGGACTTGTTTGGCTCTGTAGCTAGATCTAAAATAGCCCCATCACTCTGCACTTGGAACTGTCCTTCAGTCTAAGACCTGGTTCTGGACTTGAGTGGTGGGTCTCCCTGGGGGCCAAGTGGAGGCAACCACATAGTTTGTACAGAGAGGTATTGTCACAGAGAGAAAATAAGATAATACAAAACAGCAATAATCCTGTTCCATCTAAGATTAGCCTACCAACCCATAATACAAATTCAGCATTATGAAAACTACCACTAAAAAAGAGAGCAAAATAGTCAGATGGTTCACTTCTAGTGAAATGCAAAATAATAGAAACATATTGAATGATTAAAAGAAATAGGTGTCTGATCGTTAAAAAAAAAGAATAAGAAATTATAGGACTTCCCTGGTGGCACAACGGATAAGAATCCATCTGCCAATGCAGGGGACACCGGTTTGATCCCTGGTCCAGGAAGATTCCACATGTGATGGAGCAACTAAGCAAGTGCTTCACAACCACTGAGCCCGAGCTCAAGGGCCCGTGAGCCACTACTCCTGAGCCTGAGTGCTACAGTTACTGCAACCCTCACCTAGAGTCTGTGCTCTGCAACAAGAGGAGCCCCCAAAATGAGAAGCCTGCACAGCTCAGCAAAGAGTGGACCTCGCTCGCTGCAACTACAGGAAGCTCGTGCAAAGCAATGATGATCCAGCACAGCCGAAAATAGATAAAATTAAAATATATGTAAATATGTATGTAAAAAGAAATCACAAAATGGGAATAGGCAGATCTGAGTAAAGAACCAATAGGTCACAAATAAAAAACAACTAGGAATTATGAGAATGAAAATACAGTTAAATAAAAAGTCTAAGAGGGTAAACTTAAACTAGACACTGTAAAAGAATATTTTCATTAACTGGAATTAAATAATCTTACGAATATTACATTTCCCCTCTTCTTCTGATGGTCTTGTATGTGAAAGCTCTTTAGAGCAATCTTTGATTGTCACGTTTCTCCCTTTTTCATGCTATGTGTTCTTCCTACACAACTTGTTTTCTCCTATGGCTTTAGTTTCCTCCTATAGCCTAAAGGCCTGAAAATGTAATCCAAAGTACAATTGTGCAATTATGTGTAATTATGCAAACATGGTTGATGATACATGAACCACTGTAGCTTTTATTATTGGATAGTTTGCTAGAATAGTAAAGCTATTCTTCAGCCAGTGTAAAATATTGGCTGAAAATATTGCCACAGATCAGCTTCCAAAATTTCTCCTAACTTTTCTGCAACAGGCACTATGATGAGTAAGCTGCAGAGGTTCCAACTATTCGTGTGACATATAAGTTATAGAACTATTCTGACAGCTCACCTTCTCTTTACCACTGTATTCCTTTCATAAAATTGCTTTTGAATTTAAAAACTGCTTGGAAGGATCTCTCTCTAACTGACGGGAAGGTCTTAATATGCATCTACTTGAATGAATAGTTGGCGCTAGTGGTAAAGAATCACCAGCCAGTGCAGGAGATGTAAGAGATGTGGGTTCGATCCCTGGGTCGGGAAGATCCCGTGGAGGAGGGCATGTCAACCCACTCCAGTATTCTTGCCTGGAGAAACCCACGGACAGAGGAGCCTGGTGGGCTACAGTCCATGGAGTCGCAAAGAGTCAGACACAACTGAAGCGACTTAGCAGGCATACACAGGACTTCTAGACTGTGACCAGTAGTCTGATGACTAGGATGAGGAAGGTGTGGGAGACGCTTCTGGTTGCTTCCCAGTCTTTCTACTCCCTTCTTTGCTAACAGAGTCCCAGTTTTATTCAGGGTGGTAATGGGTTCAGTCTTAAGAAGGAAGAATTCCCAGGTAAAACCCACGGTCCAAGAAGCCAATTGTGACAATCCTGCTTTGTTCCCTGTTCTTTCTGCCAGACTCCTTGTCCTTCCTCGGCAGTGACCTTATGACTCAGTTCTATTAAGTGGGGTGTGAAAGGAAGACTGCTAAGTAGAGGAGCCATGTGGTTGGTGCTGCTCCTGCCTTGAAACGGATGCTTGGAAACTGTGACAGCTATCTTGGGAATGAGGGACAGACCAAGAGAATCGTAGAAATACCAGCCCTGGCCCATTGAGCTGGGTGAAGGCCAGCAGTAGCCTGCCATTGGACATTTTGTCACATAAGAAAAACTAGGTTTTATCAATGTGCTTTAAGCCATATGCAGTTCTAACTGATATAGTGTGGGAATAAAACAGTTAGCTCTTTCAATCTACATTTTGAAAGACTAAAGTGATTAGATCAGTTCTAGGCTAAAGTAAAAGAAATGCATGTTAACTGATCTGTAGTAGATAAAAACTTAGGCTTAAAGAAAAGAGAATAGGAAATATTTCCCTCACAACTCTTGTTAGACTTTTTCAATGAATGTGGTGATGGACTTAAATATTTGAGCTCCTATGGTATCTCGGCTGAATTAAGTGAGTTTTTTTTTTTTAAACTATTCTTACCACTATATTTACAGAAATTGGAGTAGCATATAAAGATTAGAGAACTGAATATGAACTGAGGGTGAATGTGTTGGGCTCTTTCTAGCAGCTTATTACTGTCATCTATTGCCTTCTTACTATTCTTATTTTGAAATAATTTCAAGTTTATAGAAATATGGTAAGAATAGTGCAAAGAACTCCCATATACCCTTTACCCAGTTTCACTAATTGTTAACATTTTCCCACATTCCCTTTATCAGCCTCTCTATTTTTATTTATTTTTGGATGCAAATGTATTTCATTATATTTTTTCATGGAAAGGCATTTTATTTTAAATATAGCAATGTGTACATGTCAGTCCCAAACTCCCAGTCTATCCTTACCCACTTACCCTCCCCCCACCCCCATATCCTTATATTTGTTTTCGAAGTCTGTGAGCAATCTCTCTGTTTAGAAAAGTAGATATAGAAGTAAATATTTTTTTCTGAACTATTTGAGAATAAACTGTAGACCAGATGTTCCTTTACCCTTAAACTGTTCAGTGTATATTTCTAAAGAAGACAGAAATTCTCTTACATAACCATAGTACAATTATCAAAATCAAGAAATAACATTAATGGAATATTGTTTAATCATAATATAGGCCTTATTCTAATTTTGGCAAGTATTCCAATAAAGTGATAGATAGATAGATCTGTCTTTGGGTCCAGGATCAATTCAGGATTGCATATTGTTTTTAGTTGTCATGAACCTGTTAACTTTATAATTAAAAACATGCATGTGTCTATTTTCCTAGATGGCTGTATATAACAATCAAAATACAAAATGCTATATTTACTCACTGTCTGTCGAGCTCATTATGTTGGTGGGTATAGATGAAGATGATCTGAAAGTGTAAGGCTATTGTCTTTAATTAAGTTTTAAATTTGCACTGAAGTTTTAAACATATGTAAAGAGTCAAATAATTCTAAAAGTTTTCTTACAAGAAAAAAAATAACAGCCTCTATCTTGACTTTTTTATCTTTCCCATTTCTCCTTTCTCAGAAGCAAATATGTTAAACAATCTTAGCTGATTCTTTTTATATTTACTTTCATTACCTAAATAACATGCTTATATTACTATATATTTTTACAAGAGCTTAGACAAAATCTATTGATTTCCTGCTGTGGCAAATGAGAACATACACTTCCCATACATCTGACCTAATTTAGTCATGTCATAATTTTGGTTAGATTAATATTTGGAGTTAATGCTTTTATTGCTATAAAATGCTACTGATAATTGATATTCTAGGACAACTTTTCTTTTTCTGTCCAAATTTGCTTTCCTTGTACTTAATAATTGTCTTTTTATATTTATTTGCTTATTTTCTATGTATAACATATAGCACTAACCCAAGGCCACATTCCTCTAGTTGTCTGTCTCTTTTTATTATATTCAGCTGTATTATGTCTTTTATCAATTGATCTTCTTGACAAGATGTCTCCCAGAGCCCTCTGACCTTCTTCCATCTGAACCAGTTGCCCCTGTCTAAGGACCATTGTCATCAAGCATCTCTCTTTATCGTCATTCTGAGGATTCTCATACCCTTTCTCTTTTGTTACATCTCCCATTTCCTATATTCTGTGTCTTGTGTATTTATTTATTTTCGGCTGTGCTGGGTCTTTCTTGACACGTGGTCTTTTCTCCAGTTGCAGTGAGCAGGCTTCTGTGGTGGCCCCTCTTACTGAGGCACAGGCTCCAGGGCATGCAGACCACAGTGGCTGCAGACCTCAGTAGACGTGGATCTCAGTAGCTGTGATTCGTGGGCTCAGTAGGCATGGTTCCCAGGCTCTAGAGCGCAGGCTCAATAGTTGTGGTGCCTGGGCCTAGCTGCTTCTTTGCACGTGGGATCCCCCCAGACCAGGCATCAAGCCTGTGTCTCCCACATTGGCAGGCAGATTCTTTACCACTGAGCTACCAGGGAAGCCCTATTCCATGTCTTTCTCTTTCTTTTTTCTCTGTTTCCTGGCACAGTCAGTTTTTGGGATTTTTGACAGTTCTAATGTGTAAGTTAAATCATATGTTTGTCATTTTCACTGCTGGGTCTAGATTCTGCTTTTCTTATAATTTTCAAAGACTCAAAATGCAACATCTGTGACAACACAGATGAACCTGAAGGGCATTGTTTTAATGAAATAAGCCAGTCACAACAGGCCAAATACCCTGTGATTCCACCTATATAAGTACCTAGAGTAGTCAAATTCACTGATATTTTACAGACGGTAAAATGGTGGTTAACTTTTAGTGCACCTGCCGCAGTCACCAGGTTTGGACCTTACGGGTGGGCCGATGCAACCCCCCGGCCAGGCCGTGCCAGAGAGCTCATAGAAGCCAAGATGGCAGAATAGAAGGACGTGTGTTCACCTCCTCCTGTGAGTACACCCAAATCACAACTAGCTGTTGAACACCCATTGACAGGAGGATGTTGGAACCCACCCCAAAAAGTACCCCGTGTCCAAGGACAAAGGAGAAACCACAATGAGACTGTAGGAGGGGCACAATCATGATGAAATAAAATCCCATACCCACCAAGTAGGTGACCCGCAAACTGGAGAACAAAAATACCAAAGAAGTTCTTGCACTGCTGCAAAAGTTCTAGGCCCCACATTAGACTTCCCAACCTGGGGATCCAGCAAAGGGACTGGGAATCTCCAGGGAATCTGACTTTGAAGGTCAATGGTATTTGATTACAGAACTTCCACAGGACTGGGGGAAGCAGAGACTTTTGAAAGGCACAAACAAAACCTTGTGTGCACCAGGACCCAGGGGAAAGGAGCAGTGACTCCCCAGGAAACCAGGCCGTGCCAGAGAGCTCATAGAAGCCAAGATGGCAGAATAGAAGGACGTGTGTTCACCTCCTCCTGTGAGTACACCCAAATCACAACTAGCTGTTGAACATCCATTGACAGGAGGATGTTGGAACCCA